CGTTTTCTGGATGAAAACATCATTTTTTCGATTTTTTCACATTCAAGTAGCCGAACTTTCAAGGCACACAATGATACCAAATTTGGAACAAACAGAAATTTTGAAAGTGGAAAAAATCCCATGTAAACGAAGGTTTCCATAATTTCTTTATCAAAACTTTTAGTTGAGGCCTGAAAATCTCTTGACCTTTTTAGCCGATTATCGTTGCTTTGCGGTTTTGGTCGCATGTCTCATTTACAATATCGCATGGCACATCCATATATCCAATGTACGGCCGTGTTTATTTAAGCAGGCTTATTGATCTTAAATCTTCAAGTGACTTGACCCGGATTACACTGTGGTTTACGAGTGTATCTTGCAAGTGCGATCAGTAAAATCCCGTTTCCTCCGGACTCGAAATTCCTCTACATGCAGGTACGAAAAAGCTATTATGTACCCAAGGAACCAATCGAATGGCTCGAAAATTTGCACACGGCCAGGGCAGACGTTGGGCAAACAAAGTGTGTCTCAAAATTTTTTAATTTTCTCTGGTCCGTCTTTTATACCCAAATACAGCTGCGGGAGGGTGGAAAAATTATTTGCCAATTTTTGACAGGGTATAGTTTAAAGAAGAGGAGGAATTTAAAAAATCTGAGACACACTTTGGTAGCTTAGGACCGGCACTTCCTGCTGGTCTAAGTCAGATTTTGTTACCTCAAACGCAAGGGTACATAATAGCTTTTGAAGGTGGTACACTTTTTGACAAGTAAATTCGCATGGAAAATAACATTTAACATTATTTGCCAATAATTTTTATCTGGCTAGATACGCCATAATCTTGTGCATCGAATGATATATAGTTTATCCAGATTCCTTAAGCCGTTTGGCCTTTAGGAAGGAAAAACCAATTTTCGTGTTCAAAACGTTTACCGTAACCTTAAAAACGGTTGAAGCTTGAAAATACACTGACATTATCTTTCCATTGTATATAGACAAAATGACATGTTCCTTCCAACATAAGAAACAAAACTGTCCCTCAAAGAGAACAGCCTCCTCGATCTTGTAAGTCTAGAAACACAATCAAAACAAGTGATTCTGCCATCGGTCAGCATCTTTTAGATAATCCAGATTGTGTTAAACTCTATAATGACGACGTGTTTCAGATAATTGGCAGAGCCCGGTCGTCTTTCCATCTAGCAGTTTTGGAATCGATCTACATACAAACGAAAATATGCCATTATGTAGACAGAAGTAGTTCGTTTTCTCTCTTGGACTCCAGTGGTATTTTTCTTTAGGCACGCGGCACTGATTGGTCAGCTATACCAATCTTGTGCTTGCGTTTTTCTGATTAGCCTATTTCTATCCACAACTGGGTATTTCTGACATTTTATGCTCTGAGGAGTGTCAGCAGAAAAAGCTTTAAGCCAATATGTTGTAAAATGTTTGCTTTTTTCAAAGCCATTTTTAAGTTTCGAATTGCTTTTGAAATTTTCGGGGTTTTTGTAGGATTTCATTTCAAGAAAATACCGTCTTTTTCTTACCCAAAAACAGACAAGGAAGCAAGGCTCTAGGCTTAGGATAACTGGCAAAAATTGATGTAACTTTTTACAGTTAAAACGGTTGTAAGCAAGTATAAACAGTTTCAATACACATTAAATTTTATTCAACACACATTCAATACACAATACAAATTTTTAGGGGCTATTGTATGATTTTATTATAGAAATTATCGTCTTTTTTGTTAACTATAGCTGACAAAAAAGCAAAACGAAAGACTAAGGAAAATTATGAAAAATTGATGAAAAATTTCTAGCTTTGATACAACTGTAAACCATTCAAAACAGTTTAAAAACACATTAAAATCATACATAGGGGTACTGTATAATTTTATTTCAAGAAAATAAGATCTTTTCTGTTATCCAAAAGCTGACATAA